GATGAGCTGGGGTGGGGAGCTGCCGCATGGCTCCCCGGGCCGGGGGGCTGGGGAGCTGCCACGGGGGGAGGGTGCCTCAGGGTGGGGGGAGGAGCTGCTGTGGTGGGGGGCTCCCCACCCCAGCTCACCTCTGCTACGCCCCCTCCCCGAGCACGCCGCCCTCGCCGGCAATGACAATAATTGCATGGAGCGGCTGCTGCGCTGGGAGAGGGAGTCTGAGCCGCACGTGTCAGCGCACCGCCAGCAGCCCAGGCCAGGAACGCTGTAAAAAAAAAAAAAAAATTGGGGGCACCGCTTTTTGGCGCCCCCAAATCTTGCTGCCCTAGCAACCGCCTAGTTTGCCTTAATGGTAGCACTGGCCCTGAGTTACCCACATTCATAGTCAAATTCCTTGCTATTTCACACACAGTTTATCATTATGGGGATTTTTAGTATGAAGCTGTCATATATTTGTACTGAATAGGTAGTACAGTATATTATTTCTCATGCACTCATAACTTTACAATGTCCCTTCAAATAGAACATGTAACAGGTACAATAGAATCCATTCTAGATCATTCTTGTGTTCTCCTACACAGCACTCACTGTTCTGTATAAAAGTCATAGCTTATGGGTATTGTTGTCCAATCCAGTTGATAGGAAATGGGGAGGGGGGGGGTCAGGAATCTCACTGGAATTTTTTTCCTTAAGTTGATAGCTCCCCTAGTTTGTGTGTGCTGAACTGATCATGTTATCCCCAGTATTTCTGTACCTCTGCCGGAACAGCAGCAGTTCCTTTTCTGCGCTTTCTATAAGCCTGGGTTCTTTAGTCTCTGTTTGGCTTCTTGAAATGGCCAACATCTTGCAGCAAAACTTCTCTTATATGGAGTGTGGAGCTTGCTGAGGATTCCTTTAGCAGCAGTTTTACTGAATGCTCCTGTTAGAACAGCAGCTTTGGGTAGACTAAAGAACTACTTCCACTGGCTTCCTCTGTCTAGCATCATGTGAAGCAGCAGCTTAGTAACACCCACCTCGCTGTCTGCTCCCACCAGCTGGAGCTCTTTTTGGAGAATAGATTCAAGTTTGAACTGCCCCTTCTCCTTCCTACTAAATCATTCATTCATGAAGGAAGAACTCTTGGGAAGGGATTCCTCTTGCTCAGCGCACCTCCTTGCCAACATTGGTGAGAGCAGCTTATAGTCGACCTTGGAAGAGCCCGCTCCTTCCACCCATTGACAGCAGTGATCTGGGTCCTTATTAATCCAGAACAGCAGATCTTTTAGGGTATGTCTACACTACAGGATTAATCCGAATTTAGATAATTCGAATTTGGGAAACAGGTTGTATAAATTCGATTGTGCGCGGCCACACTAAGCACATTAATTCGGTTTTTAACCACATTAATTCGGTGGTGTGCGGCCACACTACCCCATTACTTTAACCACAGTAATTCGGTGGTGTGCGGCCACATTAACCCTAATTCGAATTAACAAAATCGATTTAGGCGCTACTCCGCTCGTCGAGGTGGAGTACAGAAATCGATTTTAAGTGCCCTTTAATTCGAATTAACTGGCTCTGTAGTGTGGACGGGTGAAGGGTTAATTCGGATTAACGCAGCTAAATCCGAATTAAAGTCGTAGTGTAGACCAGGCCTTAGCAAGGTGTAGCCAGACTGCTTGCACCTTGTGGAGTCTTCTAGCATGGAAATACAGTCAGTATTTCCTAAGAAGGGGTCATGAGTCACAGTAACTGGTTTCTATGGTCCTGTAGCCCCAAGGGACCCTCATCATCAGTGCTGATCCCATTTCACAATTTTCCTCATCCTCTTTACAAGAGCAGGAAATGGTTTTCTGGATCCTCTCCAACAGCCACAGTTTCTAGCTTCTTTGGTCCACAGTACCCAGGAAAGAGGTTTAACACTCTTTGCAAGCCCAACTCTACTACCAGTCTGCTCAGGCAGACTGCAGGATTGGGGACCCAGGTTGAGCACCATTTCCCTCATCAATCCATCAGTTGTTCCCTCTCACTCAAACCTGAATAGTTAAGCCTGGTTCTCTCCGCCAGGGTTCTTCTGTGTGCACAGAAGTTCAACCTAGCCCAGTGTGCCTCCTTTTGAGGAAGACTGCTGGTAGACCCATAAATAGTGCAACAAAGTGGTCTAGCAGTTAATACCATCAGCCTGCAGATGTCTCTGGTCCATCCTTTTTGCAATAATCCTGCTAGTAAAGGATCAGAAACAGAAGAAAGTAGGAAAAAGTGAGGAGAAGAGAACATAAGTGAGA